CTCGTGAAGAGGACTGGCCGATGGAGTTCAGCTGCTGTGCAGCGCTATCTCCATGACGGCGAGCGCGCGCTCAAGGATGCGGCTACCAAGATGGCGACGGTGGAGCAGAAGATCCACTACACCTAGTGCCGAGTTTTGAACTTTTGTTTGGGGTCAAGTGGCACGAAGCCATATGCAAAGGAGTGCAGCTTGGCGATTGGTGCAGCGAACCGCAGAAAAGTGTGAGTCGCAGTGCATCGTGTGTGCACTAAAGTTATGTTCCAAGTTGGAACTAGCTTCAGCTGGGATTCCTTGCTTGGTAGTGGCAGCTCTGGGAAGGCCGTTGCTGAAGATGTGTCTGTTGTAGACAACCGGCTACACGATCATCTCAGCACAGTAAACCAACCCTGTCTCCACGGAGCGAGATGCAAGGCTGGCCCCTTGGCCAATACGTCGGGCGGCCCAAAGATGCAGCTTGAGTTCGTTGAGGGCGGCACAGACGTGAACACCCATTGAATCTGTGAGCCCTGGAAAGACCGGTTTGGGTCCTTCTGTGAAGGGCGTCTCAAGCCCCGAATCCTCAACGCAGGTAGCTGATATCATAAGATTGCTTCTGAAAGGTGCGCGGCCTACATGCTCATGATGAAGCGCTACCTGGACTCGGAGGCGAGCCAAGGGGCCCTTTCCAGTCCTAGAGCTTCCAGAGCTCGAAGGTCCGCCCCAGACAATTGACCACAAAAGGCAGAGGGGTAGAGAGGGAACCAGATATTATAGAGACGGAGGCAGCGAGAGAAAGAGATATAGAAATGGTCGGTCAATCAGACTTCTCTGCACAAGAGAGCGAAGCGAGAGATCACCCCTCAGCAAAGAGAATGGTTTGGGCTGGGGTTTGATGCCTCCCTGTGTCGTGCCCCGGGCTTGAGTTCCTCCAGACAGTTCTTTAGATTTGCAGATTGGCCTTTGGGCTTATTCTGCTGGATTGCTCTCATCTCCAGGCAAACGAAGCCCAAGCCCTTTCCAGATGGCCTCCTACCAGGCACAAAGCAGTGCGGCCAACACCACTGCTACAAAGGGCAGCTCGAGGTCCTCGCAACTGCGCAGCTTACCAACTTAGGTTTCGGGCTGCGATGCAAGGTTGGATTCTAGGAGGCGCATGTGTCTGGGCAGGTGAACGTCGCAGTGCTGGAAGCCCTCGGGCGATTCACCTGTGGAGCCCTGAAGCGAAAGATAGGGTGCCAATGAGCACGTAGTTAGGTAGAAGTTTCAGTCACTCCGGGTCCAACTAGTTGCAGCGTGTTTCTCCGGGACGAGACCAGATTACTTGGGGGATTCAGGGTTCGGGGGCATCTTATTGAGTCATGCATCGCGTGGTGTTGCACGAAGAAATGCTCGCTGTCCCACATGCCAGGCTTTTCATGCAACTGTGGGGGCGGAGGGTCAGCGCTGCGAAGCCTTCGCTCGGACTCGTCCCCGCCAACCTTGAGTCCAGCGTAGTGCCGTATTCTTGTAGCACATCAGATCTGTCTAGGTTCCTGCTGCTGAGATCCCTCGCCCTGCCCTCCGTGATTCCGCTTCCCTGGCGGCACGCTGGCCTTTGCCGATCATGTCGCAGCCCCATCCTTGAACTGGCTATCGATGCCATGGCGTAATGCGTGGGGGCCGCGCCACAAGGCGTCGGCGTCGGCAGTGGTCTTTCCAGCGATTGACAGCGGAAGGGAAGCACTGGATTCTGATCCCCCCATCTCCTCGTCGTGCCATGCGGTGTGCTGCTCGGAATTTCTGGACGGGGGCCAAGATGTACAAGTTGAGACATCTTCGATTGATAAATTAATAACATGCAACATTCGTCTGTGAATCTGCATGACAACTTCCGAAGCCAACCATCTTGCGAAGGCGGCCTCTTGCAAAGAGCTCTCCTGCTGCAAGGAGCGAGAGAGCGACGGAGAGAGCTTCTACGGGTCAAGGGGCTGCC